AGCAGGAAGACTCCTTTGTGTTCTCCCTACTGAATCTTTAAATTTGAAAAATTAGGCTTCTAACTCCTAGTGGGAAACCTGAGACCCTGAGTTAATATTTGCAGAGACTTTGCTCAGCAGTAGACTAGATTTCAAGGGGCTGAGGAACACACCTAATTTGTCAAAGGGTCACCTGTTAACACGAGATACCAGCAAGTTGTTCCTTATTCTAATGCAGACAAAAGGCTGCTCAAATTAAAAGAAGCATGGCATGCAGGAATCCCATCAAGGCAATTCTTATTAAAGATGAGAGTAGACTCTGTCAAGTTTGACCTCTAGACCTCTTGTATTTTAACTGCTTCTATTTTGTATCAGTAGATCTGCATGTTTCTCTTTACCTGTGTTTAACATACTCTGTCCTTCCTAGCAGCATTATTCTCTGGTTTCAGTATGTTATGACTGTGATTACTTTTTCATCAGATGGTCATATATAATAATAGGTGCTTTTGGATGTAGCTCAGGGCAATCAAATGTCACAGAAAACAGAAACTCTCCCAATTTTTTGGCCAGTCCCATCATCTTCATTGCTTTTAAACAAATCTATTCTTTTACATTTCTGTTATGCTAGAGTTTAAATTAGGTATCCTCTATCCTGTGCTCAGTGGCAGCTGTTCAAGGTTTAGGTATCCTCTATCCTGTGCTCAGTGGCAGATATTCAAGGGGAAGTGCTGTAAAGACCACAGCATTTAGCCATTGTTGTCTTTGGCTTACCAAGGCCCTTGATTCCATTTCATGGCCTCAAAAAAGAATCAATGAGCAAATGAGAACATGAATATACAGCAAATAAGAGTGAATATGAGTAACACAGAATGAACATGGGCATGTGAACTACTAAATACGTGGCCTCTTTTATTAATTTCGTTAATTACTTTATTATCCTTTTGTGAGACAAAAAAAATCAAGGTGAGATAGGTTGGTTTTCTTATATCCTTTATAATTTGAAAACACTCAGTTAAACCACATCTAACTCCTCTTCTTCCCAGGCTAACTCAGAAGGTCAGAGATCCTACAGAGCCTCTGTGGTCCGTAGTGCTGACATGGTTAAAGTAATCCAATGTTTGTAGCTGATAGGAAAGGAGCAACCTTTGACTCTCCAGTCTAAATGGCCAAGTTTCTATTTACATATAGGTCAACTGAAGGCAACCTTAGCATAAGTGTAGAGTAGGATTCAAACTCACAACTCTAGAGCTATAACAAGATACCCTAGCTGCTCTGCCAGGCATGATATCCCTAGCCTTTTTATCTTATCCTCAACCATAAGTCTCTTCATACCTTCCACTGGCTTCATTTGCCTTTTCTGGATCTATTCTTTCTTAGAAACAGCAAAAACATGTGTCCAAAGTAGAATGTTTTACAGTTCACATGGTGCCCAAAACTAAGTTTGATACAGTATACCATTATTAAACATTGTCTCATTTTCTATCACTTTGCTAAGGCACCATGAGAGAATCTATACAGGCCTTTTTCTTTAGCCTTGATGAGGCAAGTGATAACTATCTCTCCCTGGGTAACAGGAAAGCCACAGCTGCATGCCTTAAATGTTTGGATTGTCAGAGAGGGCAGTAGGGCTGGGGCAGCTGTGATAACTTAAGTAATCCTTCCAACACATTTATAAGAGAGATGGGCTCTAGTGACTGAAGTTTGTTGTTACTCAGGGAGGGGAAGGGTTTGTGGAGGAAGGGAGAGGAACAGTCCTTTCTTGATTTAAACTTTAGCTTGACTTAGCTTGGTTTAGTTAGCCTCACTTAGACTCTGGAGTGTAGGAAGCCTTTATAACCTTGATAGTAATTGTTTTTGGAGGCAGACATTGAAAAGCTAGGTGCTTGGCAGGAAGTAGGATTTCTAGATCCTGAGCTAGAGGTGCTATGGGGTAATTCTTAATACTTATTTCAATTTGAGCTGGGTGCTAGACAGATATCATGAGAAGCACTATAAAACAATACTTTCTTTTTTTTCTGGGGATCCTACAAGTTCAGAATCCATTACCCTCTAAGAAATATACAAAACATTATCAGCATTCATAGCCATACACTTAACCAACTTAAATTCCATCTGTTCTTATACTGCTTAATTTATTTAAAGCTATTTGGAGTCTCTCTCAATGCTCTGGATGTTACTAATTAAACCAATATATAGATAACTTCATTTTAGTCTTCAGGTGAATAAGAAAAGTACAGTATAGGTCTAAAGAGATCCCTAAGCACCCTACTTCCTGGCAGCTGTTTTTTTCACAAGATGCTACTGTTTCGTTTCATAGCTATTTATTTCCTTAATACTGTCTTATTGTAAACTAGATCAAAGCCTTTTAAAAAATAGGGCCACCTTTTAATTAGTAGGTAACAGTCCTTGAAAAGCGAGGCATCATTTTTTCTCTCCTGTAAATTGGCAGTATTAATCTGTTTTGTTTTTTTTCCCAAGCGTGTTACTTTTCTGTCTTTTAAATGTTTTGTCTTTCATTTTCTTTGGTATTGAGGCAAGATTCTTATTCTGGGAATTCTTGGATTCCCCTTGATTCCTCTTTTAAAAAGTAGCTATACAAGCCCTCTTTGACCATCTTGAATTATTATTGCTCTTTTGTGTAGCCACATTATTAATTAGTATTTCTCACTTTTATGTACCTCTAAAACCTCAAAAGAACTGAATACCATCTGCTCTTGGTAGCTAACTTGAATTGCTTTTTTTCAAGTTGCTCTATCAACTCCTTGGAACCCTTTATGTCAAGGCTATGCTCTGATTTCCTTTAGAAAATATCTGAACTTTTTTTTTTTTTTTTTTCAATTCAAGGGTGAATTCAGATTTCAATTCAGCTTCTCAACAGCCACATACTTTTCAGTATTTTATTTCATATTTTTTCCTCTGATATCCCCACCGTAGGCAGGACAAATTCTTTTAAGTCGTATCACAGCATACTAATTATGAGTGAAGAAAAGAGACTAAATATAACAGAAGCATCCACTGCCAAGATAATGGGACCTTGACCTTGTCTGAGACATTGGGATAGTACAAATAGAAGTTGGAGAAAGCTGAAACAGAGCGGCTGTTAGCAGCTGCTGAAGAATGGTTTACAGGCTCTCATCTCTCTGAAAACATTTCCCTCTTTTTGCATTTAAAAAACAACAGGGTTTTTTTGTTTTTTGTGGGGGTTCTTTTACAAGAAGGTATTTCGGTACTGAAGACTGCAGTCTAAAGCTTGCATCTTTGGTTCCTTGGCAACATGTGTGATATGGCTATCTTTGAACGACCACTTTTGTAGTATGTCTGAACGTCCACCAGAGGGAAATGTGCACAAGCAGTTGAGCTTGAGATGCTTCATATGTGTCGCAGAACTTCAATAAATGCAACTTCTAACTTTCCAGTCCGACAAATATTTATACACCTCTCTTAAGAATGCTTTTCCTAGTACTGATATGAAAAGCTTCCAATTAACTTGGGTCATTCAGATTTGGGTTTCCCCTGCCTCAAAACAACCACTGACTCTACCCAGGTTTTAAAAAATTAAGGCCCAACTCTGCTCTTGATAGTCTGTTTAACTGCTTCTCAAATGTCATTTTCTTGCTCCTTTAGAAAGTGGCCAATGTTCTACATATGCTCCAAATGTCCTCCAAAATTCTGCAAAGGTTTCATGACGGATGCCCGTGCACAGCACCTGCCATATTATGAACAGTGCTTTTATAAACAGGCATATGCACCTGCATATTATGAACAGCTTTGTAGAGTTGTCAAGAAAACTGGCCAGACCACTGACAAAATATTTGCTTGGCTTTTGTTCTAATGACTGATGGTAATTTGAAAACAAATGGCTATTTTCTGCCATATAAAAACATTTCATCTGTTGCTGAAAAACATTACTCACTCTGGACATGTGACAAGTTAAGCTTTGTAGGGCTGGCTGAAGTAGAATTAATTGGTATCTGAGTTGTCTGCATGAAGGAAAAGAGTTTTTGGGATTAGGGAGTGAAAAAAGAAATAGAAAGAGGAAAAGAGTTGCCCATTTTAGCTGTTAGTCTTGCATTCTAAGTTAGCTTCTCCAGAGCTTTTATCTGAGATGGCATTGAATAAGGCAAGTTCCCATCTGCTTCACTAGCTATGACGTGTTGTTTTGTGAAGGCTATCCTCTTGTGCTCCAGAATCTAAGCTTTCATTTTAAAAATATTTAAGTCTGTAGTTCTGATGGCTGTACAGAAAACCTTAAATATGCGAGCCAGATGTTCACCAGTGCAATGATGTTGGCCTGGTTCTGCAGACAAC